TATTATTATTATTATTATTGCACAATCGTTATTAAACGAGATATACATTTTTCAGATTCAATAATTTGTGAAGATGAACCATGTAAGAACGGCGGGACTTGTGAAGGCTCATTTAGAGAGCCGTGGATTTACCGGTGTCACTGCGCAGATGGTTATACAGGAAGCAACTGTCAAGACCTAGTCGCTGGTGAGAAGTCTTTGTTGTCAACATTTTACAATCTACATATAGGTGGAACCTATAAAGGGCCAGTAAACTGTACTGAAAATGCCCAGCCCAATAAAGAACAAACTACAAAGTGCTGTAACTCACAATATATTCTACTTAGTGCGCATATCGAATGTTGTAAAAATACCGTTTTTTATTTTCAATATATATTCAAATTAGGTTTACAGTGTAGCACCGTCAACACTATATAAACAAATAGATAAATAATAATAATAATAATAATAATAATAATAATAATAATAATAATAAGAGTGCTCGAATAGGAACATAATGTTGTAATCGTATCAAGCATAATAGCCCTTCAACGAAAAGTTTATCATTTTTAGTTATATAAAAGTGACGGGATTCGAACCCGCAAACTCTCGCTATCAAGGCGAGTATCATATCCATGGAGACCTTACGGTATATGGCAGATCTTACCCCCTGGCACTTTCTCTCATACAACTGACTTAAGCGCTGCGTTTTCCCCTTTTTATTAATTCTTAGGCATTTTACTGTACACAAACCTGATGCACATTTTCAACATAAAGCGTTGAAGATTTTCATGATTCGTAGACAGAATTGAAAGGTGTTAAAACACCTTTCAATTCTGTCTACGAATCATGAAAACAAGCAATATCTAACTTTTCGGAAATTGATTATGATTTTTCTTGACATGATTAATTTCTTCAATAAAAATCAGAATCATTTTGGTTGTGAATGCATATTTATGTAGTTACAATGTTGCCCATGATTTGTTCTAAACGTAGATGTTTTTCTATTCAAAAGATCGTTGCCACGTGGCTGACAATCCATGCTCGAATGGAGGATCTTGTACTGGTATCAAGGGATATCCATGTGAATGCGTTTTGGGATACACAGGCCCGTTTTGTAACGGTAATACATTATTTGTCATATTGCGTGTGCAACATAAAGTTAAATTATAATAAATTTCTGTCCACACCATGACATATTGAACTCATTGCACCATATTTTGATACCTCAAAAGACAATAAGGCTATGTTCTCACACGGCAGCTAACGGTTAGCAGGATCCAGATCCTGCTAACCGTTAGCTGCCGTGCGTCCATGCGAGAAAATCCCGATCCGAATACCAACAATATGATGATCGAATCACTGACCAATAAGAAACTGGAAATTGTAAACGCGTACGTGTGATTGGTTGATGATAGAAACGCCCTCAACTTGCTAACCGATAGCGCTTGCTAACCGTTAGCGTATCCGGATACTGCTAACAGTTAGCGCTAACCGATCGGGCGTTCTCACGCAGGTGCTAACGGTTAGATCCGGATACTAGGGCTCTAGTGAGAACTAGGCCTACAACATCCTGACTTTTTAAATCGTGTCTTCCAACTTCATGAAAGTGTTTATTTCTGTCTTTTAGGTACTTGTGACTCGAATATCTGTCAAAATGGAGGAGCTTGTACTGGTTATGATTTATATCCATGTGATTGCCAATACGGTTTCGCCGGTGACTTTTGTGAAAAAGGTACACTTAATGATAATTTTAGTATTTTTCAGTGTATTAAACAAAAATATATGCTATGTAAAACGCTTATATACAAGCATTTTCCACAATATTCTTTACTGATCATATGAATTATTTTCAAGTAATAAATTATTTTTAGAAAGCCCATCCTCTTTTCTTTGTAAGGTTGATTTGTATTTTGATTCGCTGTAATGTTTG